TGGTGTCGGGAAAGAAGCAGAAACTTCAGCGGTTGTGCGAGGTCACTCCGACGGTAGAGCCAATAGCAGCTCCAGAATCCCAGTCTAGGTCACACTTCACCTGTGAGCTTCCCTGGGGACCACCCTGTGGTCAAGGGGTCAATCAAACATTCCACCGGAGCCTGGCCGTACATCGGCGCTGTGGTTGCGAACGCCCAGGGGCCAGGCTCGAAGCCCAGGTCCGCGGACTCCGGCCTGCAAATAGGAACAGGAGAGCAGTAGTCCATGACACTTGCATTCCCCTCTTCTAGCAATGACAGGCTCTCCTGCAAAGACAGGCAGTCGCCACCGTACGCACCCTCGTGCCTGCATTCCCTAAATGGTGTGTGTTCCTGCCTCCCTAAATATTTCAGATGGGATGTAGGCTGAGTCCAAATGGCATCAAAACCCTGCGGACCAGTGAATAATAAATAAACTCCTTCTGCCTTGGTGAGCAGCGCACGTCCGTGCTGACTGCACTCGCCAACCTCTTCTCGGCTTCAGCCACAGCCGGCTCAGCCCTCCCGCCTCCTTGGTATTTAGTAGTCTCCCCCACTTCTCTAACGCTAAATATGTCACTTCTCCGCTATTCCCCAGACTTGCTCCCATTTCAGAACAAGGACACTGACGCCGTGAATGCCTTTCTGCAGCAAGTTGCCTGGTCCTTGTCTCTGGCCTGTTTTGTACGGCAGGACCACAGTGGGGTCTTCTGGCTATCAAATCGATGACTCCTGTCAATAAAAGCCCTTTTATTTGACAGGTTCTCAGGGACATTTCTCCCACAACGGCTCTTGGAAACAATTTTCCTATTGCAATGGCCAAGAGGGCAGCCTCTCGCTCTTTACTCTCATATTTGGCACTCCCCTGCACACATAAGAACATACGACATGTTGAAGTGGTTTAATAAATGGCTTCCAATGGACTCCTTTCCTATTAAAACATCACAGTGAGCAAACAGTATTCCAGGAGCGGGCTGATTATGCCATAATGATTTTCCCCACCATTATTTAAAACTTTAATCAACTGTAAAATAGATTTAATAAATCAAGCAGATTGAAACACTGTCAGGAGATGCATTACGGCCGCATAATTCAGAGGTTCTTTCCTATCTGCTCAACTTATTTCTTTTGGGGGCGGGGGGTGAAATTTGAAGCTTAAAACTCTGTTTCCCTGTCATAAATCTGGCAATGAAAGTAACTAAGGGCCAGATTCAGAGACCACCTCTTTATGCTGCGTCATGGGTGCTGGAATTAGGAGCGCTGGGGCTCCTGCCGTGCTCCCCAGCTTAATGGGGTTTCCATGCAATACAGGGTTCCCAGCTGGGTTCAAGAACTCTCAGCACCCCACTGTAAAAATTAGCCCCATGCCCTTGCGCGGAGCGGTGAACATTTGGCTCGTTGAAGTCAATGGGATCACTCCTGCAATCACAGAGTGGAGGTGGAAGTGTGAGTGTGAAGAGGTAAGCAGGCCCATGGAATACTGTGTCATTTTCTGTTTATTTTCATGTGGCGGCTTACCCCCCATAGGCGGTGAATTATAAGGGCCCATGGCAACCTAGTTCCACCAATATAAGAACAGAAGAATGGCCAGACTGGGTCAGACCAAAGGTCCATCCAGCGCAGTGTCCTGTCTGCCCACAGTGGCCAATACCAGATGCCCCAGAGGGAATGAACAGAACAGGGAATCACCAAGTGATCCCTCCCTTGTTGCCCATTCATAACTTCTGACAAACAGCAACCATGGACTCCATCCCTGCCCATCCTGGCTAATAGCCATTGAGGGACCCTAACTTCCGTGAATTTATCTAACTCTTTTTTGAATCCTATTAAAGTCTTGATCTTCACAACATCCTCTGGCAAGGAGTTCCACAGGTTGACTGGGTGCTGCATGAAGAAATATGTAGGAATACAGACCCAGCTCCACCAGTGTGTGGGTTTCTAACAATCTGATCCATAGGAAAGACCGGGGCAATTGCTCTGGGCCCCAATTTTTGTGGGGGGCCTGTGCTTCAGGGGCAAGAGGGGTCAGTGGGGGCCTTGGGGGCTAGCAGTGGGACTCATAGCAGTAGCAGTTTGACTGGGTGCTGCATGAAGAAATATGTAGGAATACAGACCCAGCTCCACCAGTGTGTGGGTTTCTAACAATCTGATCCATAGGAAAGACCGGGGCAATTGCTCTGGGCCCCAATTTTTGTGGGGGGCCTGTGCTTCAGGGGCAAGAGGGGTCAGTGGGGGCCTTGGGGGCTAGCAGTGGGACTCATAGCAGTAGCAGTG